TCCCCATGCGTCATTGTGTCTTGTCTTTCAAAACTCAGCTCAGATATTACTTCACCACACCCTTTCTCGCTATGGTAGCTCTTTAGGGCTCTATCCAGACCTTATCACGTGGTACAATTAATGCCGTCACTCCTCACCACTTAATTATTTTTCTTTTATTTTCATATGTGCATACAAGGCTTGGATCATTTCTCCCCTGCCCCCACCCCCCTCCCTTACCACCCACTCCCCTCCCCCTTCCCCCCCTCAATACCCAGCAGAAACTATTTTGCCCTTATTTCTAATTTTGTTGTAGAGAGAGCTTAATAGCAATAATAGGAAGGAACAAGGGTTTTGCTGGTTGAGATAAGGATAGCTATATACCTCACCACTTAATTATAAAGCTTTGTGGTACCGGGCCCCTCAGTGTCATGCACTGCCTGGGGAGAAAGCCATGTGCTCAGTAATGGAACTACTACTTTCTTTGGTGAGGAGCTTACAGTGGCTCCCTACTGCACTGAGAGCCACATCCCTGCCGGTTTTCAGTGTCATGGTCACAGTCGGCCCTTGCAGTCCAAATCCCCTCCGACATGCAGGCACATGCTCTCAGTCAGATTAATCTGCTTGTCATGCCTAGTTATCCATCCTAACCATTCAGACCTCTGAGCATTCTCTCCATCCTGGGTTGGCGTCCTCGTAGCCAAACCCCCAAGGACAAAACTCAAGGTCTTCCTCCTACTGAAGTGTCATGATGAGTCTGTTTGTATAGTGTCTAGGCTGCCTTTTTCTAAGACAGTCTTATTTCAAATGCATGGCTAGTGATATTGATTATGTCCTGATATTTTGTTTGTAAACCACACTTATATTTTGTCCCCTTTACTCTTTTTTTTTCTTTTCAGTACCTGGAGTTTGAACTCAGGAATTCAGGCTTGCTCTCTTACTTGAGCTATGTCCCAGTCCCCTTTACTTTTTTGAGTTTGCTGCACCAATTAAGGAATTATTTTTTTCATAATTTTCACCTTAAATATATAAGATACAAAAAAAAAAAAAACCCACATAATTTCTGGTTCACTTCTTTCCTTCACAGATTTGCCAGGTTTTCCATATAAACCATGTATCAATGTTATTTTCCTTTCTACATCTTTTATTGTTCCATAAAATTGTAAGAAGAGTGCTAAGCACACAATCACCAATAAACTATGTCTTATTGATTATTGGCAGTTAAAACATCTTCCCAGATGTTTTTAGAAATAATTACTGTTATAGCAATTTCATAATGCTATAAAATAATCACCATAGGTATAAGATATTAGAAAATAAAATTCATGCCAAATTCACTGCTAGTCTTGGTTTTTATTACTACAACAAAGTAACGGAAGCTGCGGGTAATTTTATTTTACAAAGAAGTTTTTTTGGCTCCCAATTTTAGAGGCTTGAAATTTCAAGATCAGGCAGAGGCAGTGTTTTAGCCTCTGTGAGGGTCTAGTGCGGATGATATCAATGACAGGAGTGTGTGTAAGAGGAAAAGATCCCATATTGGGGTCCATGATCCATCTGAGGCAGAATCCTCAAGGACCTAAAGACCTTCTGCTAGGCACTTCTTATATCACCACTCTGAGGACAAAGTCTTTTGATGCACACTCTTAGGGGCAAGCCATCTCCAAAGCACAGCACCACTAATAGGATTTCAACTCATTCTAAATCAATGGGGAGCCCAGTGACAGAGTTTTGCTTTGTTGCACAAAATTCAGTCTTACCATGGGAGAGAATTCAAAGCTACTTAATTTAAAACACACACTTCGTAGCTGGCTGCTCTCCAGCAGCTGCACTGTGAAGCTTCTGCCAGTAAGACTCACGTGACAGGGGCAGCCCCACTTTCAAGGGCAAGCCCAGCCAGGAAATGTTCCTTATGCTGACACAAGATCTAGTTGTGTCACTTCCTCTCACTTGTCCTAGAACTACCCTTTGTGGGACCAACCAGAACAAGCCTAATTCTTCTTCCACATGCAGCATTTCCGGTGCTTGGAACCAGTTGTGTGGGCTGTTCCTGGCACATGTCGACCCCACCCTTCTCGCCACCCCACGACCCAGACAACCTCTTTAAGCCGTTATCCAGGAGCTGTTGTTTCCGTCCCTTAACAATCTGTGGGATTTTTCCTGGATGTGATCCGCTTTGTCGAGATTCCTCAAGGGGTGCCCTGCAGTACTCTTGATTAGAGTTATAAATTCAGATGTCTCCAGGACCAGACCCTAACTAAGGACAAAACTTTGACCATGGCCCACTGGTAAAGACATAGGAATGGTGGAAGTTGGACTTAGCGCTGACTTAAGGCTTTCATATTCGTAACTATCAACCCAGATTTGGCCAAATAATATTGGGACATGGAAGCCACATTTGCTGTTCTAGGCCACCTTATCTGAATGCAGGTAAAGCAACTGCCACCTCCCACCTCTCAGATAAAAGGAGGCAGCTGACAGCTGACGTTTCAATCAACTCTCCTCTTCAAACATGTCCACTTGTCACTGATGCTTTTCCTTTGTGGGTTATGGGTGGGGTAAGGCATTTAGGATTCCAATTCTACAAGTATGACTGAGGTAAGTGGTTCCCCACCATTTACACAGCATATTGTAATGATAATTTACTTATGCATTATATGGATTTATGCACTTATAGTGAGCCCTTGTCATCATGGAAAAATGTTTAAAGGGTTGAGGAAAATCCCCCCTCTACGTGCTATGGATGATGACTGTTTACTGGAAAACCTCCACCTTTTGCCTCGAGTCTCACCTCAGAGAGACTCATAGATGGCCCCTTTACTAAACAAAACCAGACATACACCCTCAAAGTCCTTTTCCCTGTCTTGTAAAGTGATTAGCTGAACTGCTATCTAGATAGATCAAGGCTCAGAACAAAGCACTCTGGCAGGCCACCTTGAGCAGATTCTCCTTGGCCTTCAGCCCTGACTTTTGGTCCACCTCGGCCTGAGCGCAGGGCAGAAGCGCCCCGCCTTGAGAAGAGCTGGACCTCAGGGTTAAGCTCCCCAGGGCTATACCCCCTTGCCAGCCCCTCTCAGCCCCCTCCCCAGGCCTGCTTCCTTCTGCATTCACTACTCCCATAAAAGACAATCTGACCAATTTGATAAACATTTGGACCCTGTGGTCCAAGCATTCCTTCCTATGCATAACGAGTCCCCTTCCCTTACGGCCATTCATCTCTTTCCCTCTTGTATAATCCTTTCAAGTACAAATCTCTCCTTACTAGGGAAGATTTCTTTGGCGGACACAATGCACATTAATGTATTAGCCATTCAATAGCATTTCATAATGATCATATTTAGCTTATCTAAGTGTACATTCCATTTTAGAGATAACCCACATGCCTTACTGGGTTTCCATGATTAAACTTTTTGAATCTTCCCAGTAAATTCTTCTTCAAACGTGCTTCTCTTATTCATTGATTTTTCCCCCTCTGGTGGACAATCTCATGACCCCCATTTCAGGATCCTCACTGTCTAGGATTACTGAGCTAAGTGGTTCCCTTGCACACACTGCCACAGGTCAAATTCACTTCTGTAGTGTCATTCATGTTACCAATAAAACATGTTCATGATATAGGAAATGAAGTCCCGAGAACATTTAGAAACTTTTCTCCTTCTCCTTTTATAGTAGTGTAAAGCTAACTCTGTAGGGAAATACAAAAGGTTAACACATTACATGTGAAAAATCATGGCATTCCCTTAAGCAAAGGTGCTTCACAAGTATTTGTTAAACGAACTTGTTCAAGGAAAGAACCACACCACTACCTTTTTTTTTTTTTTTTTTTGGCAGCACTGGAGTTTGAACTCAGGGCTTCACGATTGCTAGACAAGTGCTCTACCACTTAGCCACTCTGCCAGCCACCAACACCCCCACACACACCATTTTAATGTAATACTGCTTGATTTAATTGAACATTTTTTGTTAAGTTTTATTCTTACAAATGAAATATCAGTATACTCCTGAGACAAAGAAACAAAAATTACCCAGTAAGCTTGGATCCAGTCATTCGTCTTACTGAATATATGAAATTTTAAAAAAAATTTTATCTCCATCCAACAGGTCCTGCATACCTGTTAGAACCAACTATTCTAGGAACTGGGAACACAGAAGTAAACAAAGCAGAGTTCCTGCCCTGTCAAGTGAACATTCTAGTTGGGAATTCATAATAAGCAGAAAATGCAATAAATATATCATTTGATGTCACCTTGTAGAATAACAGAGCAGTTTGGGTTAGAGGATGATGGGAGCAGGACGAGACTTAGGACAGCGTAGTCAGGAAAAGACTTTCCCAAATGGCACTTAAACGGAAACCCAAATAAAGATAGGAGCAAGCCACACAAACACATGAGAATAGAACATCCAGGCCAAGGCAAAGGCCTTAGAGAGAAAACACTGTTAGTGTAGGTGAGGGGCAAAAGAGAAGACAAGTTGGCCACACCAGGGTGAGGAGGTAGAAAATGTAACCTGAGAGACAGGCAGGGATCGGGTCATGCAGGGCCTGGAAAGCCATTGTAAGGACCTTAGATT